CCGTGATGGTCCCGGCGCAGGCGCACTGCTCCACCTAGTACACGGGCACTAGGTCCGGGCCGGCCGCGGCGTTCGAGCTCGCGCATGCGCAGTAGAAGCCGCGGGCCGCCCGCTGGGCACCAATGGCAGCGCAGGGCGGGATATTTAAAGGTCCCTGAGCTGTCATTTCGTTGCCTTCTGGTCTTACCTGCTTCCTGTGTTCCTGTACCTGTGCCTAGTAAGTTATTGACCCGGATTGCTCTTGACCTTGCTGATTTCTCCTGCCCAGACCCCTGCTTGCCTGACTTCTCTCCCTGGATGCCCCTTATTAGATCTGATCTCCTGTTGCTGACCTGGCGTGTGACCCGACGATTCTCTGCCTGCTCCCTTGTACCTTACCGTCCTCTACCTTACCGACTCGGCCTGTCTGACTACGCACTTGCTCAGCCATCCATCCATCCATCCCATCGGGCTCACCCGACCTCCTCACATCTGGCTCTCCCTGGTTGGAACCCCTGGCGAACACCCCTACCACTGACAGGTGTGCTCAGTAGAGGCGACCTGGTCTCGTGGGGTACTACAAGTCCATCCCCACCCATCAGGGGCCCTGGTGAACAAGTACCCTGGGGCTTAGGACTCCGCGCTCTGGGCACGCCTGACCAGTGGAGTGCTAGTGGTGCCGCTCGGCGGTCCCTCACACACGTGGTGACGGAACAAGGGGTGAAACCCCCGCCCCCTTGTGACATCATGACAGTACTTAAGACCTGTCATCGGCAGTGCATCGTTTTTTTTTTTGCGTTTTTTTCTTTTGGTAACAGTGGCGGGCATAGTAATTGACATTGGATCTACTTCGGGGGACTTTTTTAATTTTCATTTTTAATAAATAAGCCCCCTGCCTGCGGACCCCCACAACCACAGGCCATGTGCGCGTGTATGTCCCCATGTGCGTGGGAGTCCAAAGCCGCTGCACAGTGCTCCGAAGGAACGGCACGGGTATACGTTTCCTTTAGAGTGCACGCATCGGCTCTTATAAAGAGAGAATATCTCCTAAACGGAGCGCACATTTAGGATATTCATGTTACCTATAGGTAAGATTTATTATAAGCTCACTGCAGGTAAAAGTTTTGAAGAAGAGTTGACTACCATTTTACGGTACGTCCTTCATTATGTGCTAGTATGAAATGCATACTAGCACATTATGATGTTTCCTTGCAGGGAACGTATTTATTTATTATTATTATTTATATATTTTAAGCTGCTTTTTTCTACTGCTCGAAGCCAATGGCTGCAAAGGCAAACATACAAGTGTATGCATACGCTGCGGCTGCTGTGCACCTAGTGATAACCATCCCCAGTTATAGACTGGGGCAGCGGACATTTTTTGCACTGTAGAATTGTTGGTTGAGGGGGGAGCACTGGACACCTTGGCTGCCATTGTGCTACATGCTGGGTGTCCGGTGCGCTCCTGTACCTTTAAGGAGGAGTGGGTTCCCTCAGGTCCCCCTGCCCTTGGTCTATCCATTAAATACTGGTGCCTCTACTATGGGGGCTCTCAAAATTTGTAGCGTTCGGAATTACAGAATATCGGGGTGCCGTGACGTGTCTCTGTAGCTTACGCATGAATTTGCAAATGTGTGCTAACTAAGCCCCTGTATTAACACATACTGCTAGACAGGTCCATTCAGTTTGTTTGCAGGCTGGTTGGCGAGCTGGGCTGGGCATCTTTCTCTTTTGTTGTTTGACCTGCGTCGCCCTTCCATGTGCTCCTTGCTGTGAAGGCCAGTTATTGACTGGGGCAGCAGCCATTTTTTGTACTGATAATCATCCCCCCCATCATGTTTGGTGGGCAAGCACTGTCCGGCACATGTGACCTATTCAAATGAATGGTGCTGCACCACAACCACCCCACAACTGCATGCAATGCACGAGGTAGCAGGTGGTAGTGGGGGATTTTTAGGGTTTACAAAATGGTGATAAGGAGGTGGAATATCACTTCCTCACTGCTTGTCAAACACCCTCTCAAAAGCTATCCCTCGCTGATTGCTCTTCAGAGGGTAACTCAAGTGCAAACAGGTCCTTTCAGCATTAGTTTGGTCCTCTATCACTTGATGCAATGCACGATCGATCTGCTATCTCTATATATAGGATTGTGGGGATAGCAGATCGATCTTACAGCACACGAGCTTTCTGACTGAATAGAATATTGCATTTTAATACGGTTTTAGGGTAAAGACCAGTTATTGGCTGATAACAAAGTGTGATAAGTGCCAAGACAACAGTCTGACATTGGCCTTTCCAAAGGGCATAAAGGTTGTCTGTTTAGAATCCCAGCTATGGCACCACTTGCATGGAGTTTGCATGTTCTCCCTGTGCCTGTGTGGGTTTCCTCCGGTCTCCTCCCACACTCCAAAGACATGCTGGTAGGTGAATTGGCTCCTGTCTAGATTGGCCCTAGTATGTGTATGTATGAATGTGAGTTAGGGACCTTAGATTGTACACCCCTTGAGGGTTAGGGACTGATGTGAATGTACAATATATATGTAAAGTGCTGCGTAAATTGACAGCGCTATATAAGTACCTGAAATAAATACATACATAGTTGTACATTTATTTTTACTTGTGTAATGTAAACATAAGGCTCCATGCACACAAGCATTTTTTCTGCTCCTAAAAGCTAAATAGTGTTCTCCTATGTGTCCATGCACACTGCTTTAGGCTATTAACATTTTTTGTGCTTCTGTATATAGGATCAGAAAAAAAAATGTTTTTTGTAGTGTTTTTTTGAAGCGTTTTTCCAGCAGAAAAAAAACCCCCAGTAAGGCTCCATGGACATTCGTGTTTTTCTAAGCTCAAAAACTGCTGGATAAAAAATGCCAGTAATTGCATTTTTTAAATAGCCTTTTGGGAGCATTTAGCATTTTTTTCTGCTGGGAAAAAAGCTCCAAAAAAACCTCTACAAAAACAATTTTTTTTTCTGCTCCTAGATGCTGAAGGTCAAAAAACACTAATAGCCTAAAGCAGTGTGTATCGACACATAGGAGAACACTATTTAGCTTTTAGGAGCAGAAAAAAATGCTGATTGTAACGTACAGGTAAGATTTGAATGGATAGGATATGATCAGGGCAATATGTAATTGTAACCATATTGCATTCACATGTGACAAAGGTACAGATTTGAGTAGATTAGATTATGTTCGGCCCTTTCATTGCAAAGGTGTGTTCAGGAACAGTCTGGTCATTAAGGATGTATATTGAGCCCCTGGGCAGTAGGGAAATGAATAGAAGGTACAAACAATGGTCATCAATTGGTCTGGGATACAGATGTGTATGTATACACAATTACTCAGTAGGCCTTACAGACTCAATCATTTAGCATCAATTAGCATTAATTAGTCTAAAGCCCCGCCTCCTGGAGGTGACACCTTTTGTGTTAATCAGGTTATCACTTTTCTGGGAAAACCAGTGTGGAGCTAATGACCGCAGCCAGACTGTCTGCCTGATGTGGAAAGCTCTATAAGTACATCATACATCAAAGTATGTTTCATCTCTCATAAAAGCTAAAATATTAGTTGCAGAGAGATGAACATGCTTCCTTCTTGTAGGCCATTCTGTGCGCTACATCTGCATATAAAAATCGTATTTGTGGCTTGGAGAGGAAGCCAGGAAAATGCAGGGAAATGGTTAGGTGGCGCAGGGTTGCGACAGTCGGATGGTGTTTGGTACTGTCGCAATCGGGCTGATGCGCTGGTGTCGGAAATCCAGTCCAGTCCCCGACTTGGGTGTCCAGGCCAGTGTTGGCCCAATTGAACTTGGGCAGGTCAGGACCACTTCCCCCAGGGTCAATGGCCGAAGACTAATGTCCCGCCCATGTCCAAATCCCAATAAATTGAGTACACTGACATTTGGACATTGGTGATTTGTACGGAGTCGGTCGATTGACTAGCAGATTGCTGATTTTCTGGCTTGCTCCAGCCGCAGGGTAAAGTGTTATTCTGTCTTTTTATTCCCTTTTTATTTTATAGTAATTAGTCATTTGTGTGTCTTCTTATATCTTTTGTATTTTCTGTAACTATTTATACTTTGTACATATTTTATGCACTGCCCACTTTGGGAAATTAATTCTTAAAATTAATTAGTGAACTTCTGTGTATTTAAGCACGTGCTCATATCGCTCAGTTAAGCTCATTGCCAATCTGTATGCAATTGCTCTGTGTGTGGGCAGATTGCGTGCAGATTGTAAAAAGTAACAGATCGGCCAGACAGAGATCTGTGTGTGTGGGGTGTCTCAACAGACCATTCTGCGGATAAACTGTTGGGTGTAGGCAGGCTACCTTTGTGTGGTGTGTCTGGTGTGGGGGGGTGTGGACAGTGGAGGGGTGTGATTAACACTAGGGTTAAAGCTAGGATAGCTGGAGGGACCTTTAGAAGGGTGTGTAATTACTAAGTTGGTCCTCAACTCTAATCAGGGCACCAGGTTGTATGTAAGATCGTATCTGCCAGTGTGTGGTTGACCAGCTGGATTGGAGTCTCCATCTGGTGGTAGCCAGAGGTAGTGCCGGCTGTGAAAAGGTATCACGGCTGATCTTTTATACGGTTTTAGATATTCAAGTGTAAGTCCCCTTTATCCCCTCTTTACCTCCATGTCACGGCCGCACGTGCGCGTCTCGGTTAGCTAGTCGCTGTAGGCGTGGCGTGTGGTGGACACGTGACAGAGTGAGCTTTGACAGTTCCTTGACACTGATAATAGCTTCTAGGAGCTTAAAAAAAAAAACCCATAGTGTGCATGGAGCCTTAACGCTTCTGAACTCTGCTAAACGCTACTAACAGCTTTTTTCTAGCTTTTACTTTTTTTTCCTCCACATGTACTGAAAAAAACGCTACTAAAACGCTATTGCTCCTAAACATTTCTGAACGCTACTAAGAAAAAAAAACACTATTCACAGCGTTTTTATTCAGCGTTTTTTGAGCTTACAAATGCTAGTGTGCATGGAGCCCAAAACTGTCCCAGAATATGATTGTCTCAGTCAGTCCTGTTATACTCACTGTAATTCCTCTATCCGGCTTGTTGTCAGAGCCGCCATCAGATCCCTGAAATGAGGACCCTCCAGATTGTTCCCATACAGGTTCAGTGTCCTCAGTGTCGGGTTATTTCTTATTCCAGATGCCAGGTGGGGGCAGGAACTGTCTGTCAGGTGAGTATCATCCAATCTGTAGAAGAAGAGAAGAATGTTACCAGAAGAACAACATTAATTTTACCCCCAGGAATGGACAGATCAGTGCCAGATCAAGGTCAACAGGATGAAAATGGCAAACTGTACCCCCCCCCCCCCCCCCCGGGGTTAACAATGGTATTGCGGCACCATGTAGTTTGAGGCCCATGAAAATGCTCACATTAGCAGATGCATGGGGGGGTGCCATCAATGGCACCGCTGTGTGTCTGCTAAAGGGAAGCACATTTCTGTGCGTGATGGGAAAACATGTTATTTTGCAAGAAAGGGCCAAGATTCAGTCCATGTATGGGCAGGTTGGTTGTACCAAAGTTGATCCATCAATCGTCTTGGGTACAACCAGCCCGTTGTATTTCTTACATGCAATTACTGTGTCCAAGTCTCCAGATCACAATAGTAACACATTTCAAAGAATCCGAATAAAATCACAGCAAAGCCATTAACCATTAGCCGCCCAGTCAATGGCTGTATGGCAGCCGGCAAAATGCTTCAGCATTGCGGGTGGACGCCATATGGCGTTCTCCTGGGCATGCACAGTTTGCGCAGCGGCGTTATCTGTCACCGGCCGTGTACCTCGGACACAGCCAATGACAGATGTGAGTACCGGCCCCCTTGCCGGTACCATGTGACCTGCTGTGACCAATCACAGCAGGTCACATGACAGTTGTATACAATGGATGGCTTCATTCATGCCATCCATTGTATACTAGTGTCTAGCTGTGAATGGTCATGTGATTAGCCATGGCCAAATCACAGCTAAGCACAAAAAAAAAAAAAAAAAAACCCTGAAAGAATCGATGTCATTCAGGTAAATGCTTGCTTATAGCAAAATAATTCTTTGCTAAAAGCAAATTATGTAAAAAAAATACTGATCACTTCCCCAAAGTAGTACAATGTTAATATGGTAACATTATTGTACTTTGGTCATAGTGAAATATGAAAAAAAAAAAATCTTTAAAAAAAGAAAAAAATTTAATAAAAAATTAACAATAATAAAAAAAAAATTATATATATTTTTTTCATACTGTCACCAGTCAGTGTCCCTGTTCACCGTCATACCAGTTATATGATGACGCTGTACTGCACTGGTGACAGTATGTAAAAAAAAATAGTGAAAATAATTTTTTTAATTTTTTCATTTTCTGAAAAATTATGACAAAAATATAACTTCAAAAAACTCGCCATGCCTCTTATAAAGTATGTCGGACTGTCTACTCTGCAAAAAGGGGTCATTTGGGGGATATCTGTACCGTCCTGACATTTGGGGGATGTCTGTACCGTCCTGACATTTGGGGGATGTCTGTACCGTCCTGACATTTGGGGGATGTCTGTACCGTCCTGACATTTGGGGGGATGTCTGTACCGTCCTGACATTTGGGGGGAGATCTGTACCGTCCTGACATTTGGGGGATATCTGTTCTGACATTTGGGGGATATCTGTTCTGACATTTGGGGGATATCTGTACCGTCCTGACATTTGGGGGGATATCTGTACCGTTCTGACATTTGGGGGGATATCTGTACCGTTCTGACATTTGGGGGATATCTGTTCTGACATTTGGGGGATATCTGTTCTGACATTTGGGGGATATCTGTTCTGACATTTGGGGGATATCTGTACCGTCCTGACATTTGGGGGGATATCTGTACCGTTCTGACATTTGGGGGGATATCTGTACCGTTCTGACATTTGGGGGATATCTGTACCGTCCTGACATTTGGGGGATATCTGTACTGTCCTGACATTTGGGGGATATCTGTGCTGTCCTGACATTTGGGGGATATCTGTACCGTCCTGACATTTGGGGGATATCTGTGCTGTCCTGACATTTGGGGGATATCTGTCCTGTTCTGACATTTGGGGGATATCTGTACTGTTCTGACATTCTTGGACCTCAAGAAATTAGATTGGCCGTCAGTACTTCAGGATTGATCAATATTCAGATCTATACCATAGTTTGTGAACTCTATAACTTTCCTACAGACTAAATAATACATCCTAATTTGGGTTATTTTCACCAAAGACATGGAGCAGAATACATCTCGGCCTAATTTATGAAGAACAATTATTTATTTGCAAACTTTTATAACAGAAACAAAGAAAATTGTGGGTTTTTTTTAATTTTCGATCTTTTTTTGTTAATTTAGCAAAAAATGAAAACTCCGGCGGTGATTAAATACCACCAAAAGAAAGCTCTAGTTGTGTGAAGAAAATGATAAAATTTGAGTTTGGGTACAATGTTGTATGACCGCGCAGGAAGGGGGTAAAAGTGCCCCGTATGGAGATGGTTAAGCATTCACAAATGATTCAAATTAATTCATAACAGCTGGTTTTGCCTTATGTGTGGAATTCCCCCCCCCCCCCCCAAATACTCACCCAAGCTCCTTCTCGATCCGGTGATGTGCACTGGCTATCCCAGGACTTCCTCTTCTCATTGGCTGAGACAGAAGCAGGAGCCATTGGCTCCCACTGCTGTTAATCACAGCCAGTGGCACAATGAGAAGAGAGGGTGCAGGGCCGAGCTGGGGCTCCATGTATGAATGGACAAGCTTGTTGCTGCTGTAGGGGGCACCCTACAGGAGGGAGGAGCCAGAAGAGCCCGCGGTGGACCTGAGAAGAGGAGGATCCATGCTGCTCTGTGCAAAACCACTGCACACAGCAGGTAAGTATAACCTTTAGAATCACTTTAACCACTAAGGGGGACCGCACGCAGTATCTATACAGTGGCCCCTGTGTGCAGGATCATGTATATAAACGTGATCCTGCATTTCGGGGTGGGGGCACGCGCGAGGCGCGACCGCCCTAACCGCGGCACCGATCGCAGCCGCGGGTGTCAATCACCGGGTCCCAGCTGGTGATACCCGCCGGAGCCCAGCGATTGCTGGCAAATAAGGGAGGAATGTTGCATTGTTTTCAGTGGAGCTCTCCTCTCTGTCATTTTTTTCAGCACACTGTTCCGGATTGCTGAGCAGAGCCTTCCGGATCAGTGTAACAGTGAAGCACACACCCCCCATCCCCCTAGTGATACACTCTCTCCTCACACAGTTAACCCTTTGATTGCCTTCAAATATTAATCCCCTCCTCCCCAGTGCCATTAGTACAGTGTGCGTTTTTTTTTTTTTTTTTTTGCACTGATTAGAGTCACTGGGGATGTCAGTGACCCCAAGTGAGTCCCCCCCCCCCCCCAGTGTCAGAATGTCCGCCGCTGTCCTGCTATAAGTCGCTGAATCGCCGCTTTTATTAGTATTAAAAAAAAATCCCAGTATCTATACCGCCATTTGTAAACGCTATAACTTTCCCTTAGCCAATTAATTTTACACGTATTGGGATTTTTTAATAGCAAAGACATGTCGCAGAATGCATTTTGGCCTCAATTTAGGATGAAATTTGATTTTTAATTTTTTACTGGACATGTTTTATAACAAAAAGTCCAAAATATTGTTTTTTTAATCAATATTGTCAGCCTTTTTTTTTTATAGCGCAAAAAATAAAAAACGCACAGGCGTGCAAATACCACCAAAAGAAAGCCCAATTCATGGGGAAAAAAAAAAAAGGACGTAAATTTCATTTTGGTGCAGCTTTGCATGACCGCATAATTGTCAGTTAAAATAACGCAGCGCCGTAATACAAAACTGCTTATGTAACCACTTCCTGACCGCTCTGTAGCAGGAATACTGCTACAGAGTGGCACGGGTGCGCAAAATCACATTTATATACGTGATTTCGCGCTCCCTTGGTTTTCACGCCCCTCCCAGATAGTGTCAGATTGCCCATCAGTACACCAGTCATCACATTTAACCCCTTGATTGCCAGGAAGACGCTTGCATACAATAAACCTCCATTGCTAGTAATAGTGCCTGAACAGATCAATATCTTTTTTTTGATATTTCAACGTTTTTAATAATTTATAAACAGTTAAAGAAGACAGAAGCAACAAAACACGCCCGCGCATGGGCCATCAATTGCACATAAAAAAATAAAGAAAAACAGTGCTCCAACACCAACAGAGCAAAAGGTGCACCCACACAGGGGCTATCAATGGCACATAAATGACAAAAACATTAGTATAACACCGACAGTAACTCAAACCAAAAGGCAGCTATCCACCACCACACCAAGAACAAACAGAAAAAGAAAAGGAAGGAGGAGTACAAAAGGAAAAAGATGACAAGATCAAGAGCAGGAGTCTGAGAACGCCAATACCGAGCAACATCACAACCCCAGACTAGCCAGGGGGAGTGTGGGAAAGGCATATTGCAACCACGGCTCCCATATTTTCAAGAATTTACGTTGGGAGATGTTATAGATACTCGACATCTGTTCATTGAGCATCAGAGAGTGGTCATACGGTCCCTGCACCCCCTGAAAGGGACAAACGGGCTGGATCAATATCTTTGATCAGATCAGCACTATAACAGCGTTCACATTAGTATAGTGTCCCCAAAAACAGCAGCATTAGGGAGCCAGCCCGACACCTGCCAGCACCTGCGTTTTAGCCCCTATGCTTACCCCCCCCCCCTTCTCCCCAGCAAGTGCAGGGTCAGTAGGCACTGTCACTTGATACACTTTGCACACAAAACCGCAGTGTTGGCAGAATCAGGCCTGATCTCTGTTAGCATTGCCGGTAAAATGTTTTGATGACTCATATGCAGCAGAGTGCCAGTACTAGTACTAGTGCCGCGCTACCTTCTGGTGAACTGGCAAGCACCAGTGGCCTAGTACATTCTGGTCTTTCACATACCAGCACTGCAGTATCATTTGGTAACGTGGAGAGTCTCATAAGTGCAGTACAAGCTGGTGCGTAGCGAGTACAAGTATTGTCTCGCAACCACCGAAAATTCGCACACAGGCCCGTAGAGCCCCTAGTATCCTTCCGGATGTGCTTGCAAATCCCAATTGGCAACAGCCCACAAATTCTGCAGCACCTGTACTTCCACCATTCACCGCCCAACCCGGAATTCAGGAAACACCAAATTTAA